TCACTTGGTTTTGGGAAGGGGCAGAGGAGAAGTGCAGCAGTTCTTAATTTTAGCAGATCAGGTCACTGTTAATGCTTTTGACTTTCATTTTCTGTCCTAAATTGTTGTTATATCCTTAACTGTCTTTGTAATTTCTCCCTGAAGTTGCTGTGTATATGTTGTTGTTGTTCTTGTTGTTGTAGCTTCTTAGATAATATATGGAAAATATGCAGTACGTTATCAAACGGAGCACGGGGTTTCTTCCATAGTAAGGGAAGGAAACGTAAAGGGAATCTGGAAGGAGGAAGCTGAGACCACAGAGGATAGAGATAACGCAGCCAGGCTTTTTATAACACTGAAAGGTTGAGTGTAAACACACTCGGTTGTCAAAAGAGAAGTGCAGGTAAGGAATGGGGCTTTTCATGGGAAAGGGCACCTGCCAGGGTGTCAGCTGTGCCTCCTCATTCCCTTTTACCAAATACTGCCTCTCTATACTGACATGTCACTGCTGGGTTAAACTGGAAATCATTTCAATCGTGGCTAAGAGAATGGATTTGTTGTTTCCACGGCTCCCTCTAGGCAGCAGCAGTAATCCACGTATGGTTTAGAGAATTCTTCGACTACAGTCGGACTGAAACCAGCACAAACACAACCTTCGTGGTGCTTGACATTTCGGTGCTATCGTGCGTAGTCCAGGCAGCAGCAAGATGTGGAGGAGATGGAGATACAGGCAGCGCCTTCGAGTTTGCAGCAATAAGATTTGAGTTAAAACCTGTGTTGCTGCTTGGATTTGCTTTGTTGCAGCTTTGCCGTAGCGAAAGGCAGAGAATGCTGTCACTTTTCTTCACTTCTCAAAGAAAAGCTGCTGCTGTTTCCGCTGTAAGCCGGCCAGCGTGGGTTTGGCAGTCTGGCTGGTTATCAGCCTCGGTGTTTGCAACAGGGAGGCTCTTCTTGGCAGCACAGTAGGTCTTATAAAAAGTATCACAGTATATATGCAAGTATCAATCCACCAGTTCAAATCACATCCTAATAACTGTTTAGTGAGCTCTTGGATGTGTGCTATGAATGACATTTGAATGTGTGTTATGACTGAAGCTGCTGCTTGCGACAGATTTCATTCCTTGAAGGGGGAGGAAGAACAGAGAACCTGAGGGAGACTGTCCTTGTCACAGCTGCGTAGGGAATATCCAAGATCCAGTGTGAGTGTGCGTCTCCTTCTCTAACAAATTAACTGTTTCAGCTGCAGCTGAACTGCACAGATGTGCGACGTTAAATAGCGTCAGATGACCGTACGTACAAGGCTTGGCACTGCAAGTAATCAGGACAGCGCAGAAAGCTCCTGCCCAAAACACAGAGTAAGGTTCAAGTTGATTCATGTTAATCCTGCAGAAGGCGACCTCTCTGGAAGAGAATGTTCAGGATGGTCTCAGTGAGCTCCAAGTCCTGTGCTGCAGTTGATGAGACTTTTCCATCTTTTGGAATACTTACCCAATGTCTTCAGAGTGGAAAATAAGGACGGGCGGTTATAAAAGTTACAGATTTCCACAGGATTGGTGTCCCATCTGATCTGTGAACTCGATAATTTGAGGTGCAGTGGTAATTCGTACAACGTGTGTGCATGGGGTAGGGGTATGGGTTGTGGCCAGGAAGTTAAAACTGTTGGGTTCTGCTGATGAAACTCTGTTTTGACTTCACAGAGCTGCACTTGCTCACTTGCACATCGTAATTTCTAGTCACACAAAAATAAGTGAAGTCAGATGGCAATGACTGAAGAGGTCAAAAGTATTTCAGTTTTATGCAGATGTGTTACTGAACCGGCGTGAGGTTCTACGATGCTTCAGAATCTCTCCGTGTGCGTCACCAAGGCCTCTTAACTCTGTTCCAGGGCGTGATCATGGCCCTTCAGCACCTTGGGCCTCAGCGCACAGAGCCTTCACCAAAGTGCAATATAATGTCGTGTTTTCAGAAACCCTACCCAGGAGGAAGGGAGTGCATGAGGGCAAGGCGTGATCAGATGTCCAACTGATTTTGTGCCTCACCCTGTGCAATTTTAACTGTAAGCCAGAAACTGTTTGAGAATGGTTTTAGAGTGAGGATGCCTGGCATCTGTTAGAAAACCAATACAGAATATGCTGCTGTAACTCACCAGCCTGGAAGGGAGGGTTTGGTTCATTTTAACACATGAGCTCTGCTCAAATCAAACTTCACTTTTTACAGAGGTTTTTGGTATAGATTTTTCTAAAGAGTGTGCTGTGAGCTTTAGTATTTAAATTATCCAGTGAGAAGGGAAACAAAAGTGCATTTCATTTATGGTAATAAACCAAAATGGCAGTGATTTGACATGGGCATTTCATTACTTGTGCTTTTTTCACTTTGCAGGATGCCACAGCAGAGTGTGCCTTGCTTTGACTATAGCTGACCTGTTGCAGACGATGTCCTGTAGAACAGATGCCTACTCAATGAAAAACACATCTTTATTGGTGGGGAGAGAGGAGACCAGCAGAGGTCATCTGGGACCAGTTTAAATTGCTCGGAGAAAGTTCCAGGTCCTCATAACCAAGGCTCCAGCTCAACTTCACAGCTTTTCTCTATGGTGCCTGAGAATTAAGAAATCTCTCCTGGTGTATGTGTTACTGCTGCATTATGCAAATAGGATCACACACATTTATGTAGAGAAAACAGTGACTGCCTTTGCTGCCCCAAACCAGGATTTTCTGTTCTCCAATGTGAAGTCTCAGAGCTCACCGAAGCCCTGAAGGGTGGCAGTGTTGGCTCTTCCCATTTCCGTGCAGGATTTAGAGAGAAGGCAGCGCGGCCCTTTCACTTGAGCCATGGGGTCAAAAGCACTGGGGGAGTGCTCTGAGCAGGGGATGTGCTCTTCTCTCAGCTGGATTTTGATCTCCGGGGGGCTCTATGGTCAGACCTGCTGGAGGAAGATGCAGCTGAAGCTGTCTTTGCAGTCTGAGTAGGGAAATTGCTTGCACGCAAGGGAAGCAACAGCCCAAAAGTCCAGAATCCTGGTTGTGATAGCTGCTAACGGTGAGTGCTGAGGAAAGCAGGGGAGGAGGATTAACCTGTAACACAATATTGTAGGTTTTTAGTGGCATTAACAATGGCAGAATAATTTCTTTTACGAACTGTCTCGCAGAGTTTGTGAATCTCTGTCCTTATTTCTGCTTGCTGAAGCAGCCTTTGTTTATGATCAGGAATATGGAATCAAATTGAGCTTGAACTGGAGGATGTACGCGCCACTTGGAATAACACAATTTCCAGCTGTAGTAGCTCATGGTTTGAAGGACTCTACCATTCTGGTTTTCTGGATACTACTAAGCCACTTACAAAAGATCTGATTTTTCTGTTAGTTACAGTTCCTCAATTTAATTACAGTTCCTCAAAGACTACAATTTCATTAAAACCAGTGTAGATACTACAAAGTGAACTTTAAAATACCTACCTGAAGGCAAAGATTCACCCAGTGTTCTCTCTTCTCATGGCAGGCTCTCCAAATAGACGGGTGAAAGGATCAACGGCAATCTTGGTGACAGCCCTACAGAGCTCCAGTTGGAGAGCCACGGGTCTACAGCAGAGCTACAGAGCTACAGGTCAGATCCTGCTGTCAAAACCAGGCACTTGGGCCACACCAGTGTTACAGGGAAGCCGGTGCAGAGCAGCTCCTGCCCCGAATGCTGATGTCTGCAGGAGATGTAGAGCGCCAGGCCCCACTTCATTTGTTCACGGTGAGTGGATGAACTGAGCACAGCCAGGCTTGATCTTGGCATGGCCCCATCTAGCAGCAGATATGGCAGAGAAATGCTTTAGTGCTTCACTGGAGCAAGAGACCGGGGTTGTTCCTTGTATCTGACCTTGCATTTCCTTAAGCACGGGGTGGAGAGTGTGTAAGCTACGACAGGATATGGGCAACCAGAAGCTGACCGTGTGGTTTATGTTACAAAATTCAGATAACAGATCTCGCCACAAGATGGAGAGATGTTCCTAAAACATGTTGAAGAAGCTAGTGGTTAGCCTTCAATTCGATAAATTAAAGGCATGAAGTAAGCTTGAAGGCATGAACCACTCCCTTATGTCTAAGTGTGGATTTGAAGCAGCTCAACATATTACAAGTGCTAAAAGGGAAGTCGTTCTAGCCCTGTGAGAGGGGGGTAAGAAGGGACAGCAGTGGTGGTGAGGGTGTTCAAAGTAATAAACGTGCTCAGAGTAAACAGTACTGGACTCAGAGAAGGAGAATTGGCAGAAAATTTAGTACAATCTTACGTTTCAGCCATCAAAAAATACAATCTTTATTGACTAGACTGGTCTTCAAGTCCAAACTAAAGCATCTCCTAAGTAGCAAAAAGGGGGAGAGCGTGATAGTGACAGAATTTTTGCAGTGCACAAAGACAAACGCCCTAAAGTTTGTGACCAGGTACGAACAGCAGCCAAGTCAGTGACATTTGCCTTTGACTGCTGTAAAGGCAAGATGGAGAAGCTGCTTTTCCCACATCACCCAACTTCAAACGAAAGACTTAACTTCATTCCAGATCAGGATGGCAGAAGGAATCTGTTCCATCTTGGCTCCCGGTGGAAGTTTTAGAGATCTGCCATTAGAAGAACAACAGAACCTTTTGACACGTAGGTAGTTGGTGTTTGAGAACTTCAACGTTTAGTATTTTTTCAAAATCTCTTTTTACTTCTAAAACTGTAGGTCCCTCTTTAGTCATACCAGTACCCCCAAGTATTAGGCTTAATCTCCTGCTTCCTTAAATTTTTCAGATGAGGGTATATTACTAAATCTCCTGTTCACATAAAGTGTTCACTTCCACTTCCAGCACTATCATCAGAACAGTATCTTTTGACCTGATAAGAGTGTGAGACAAGAAGTTCAAGTGAGTGACTTGTCTAAAACCACTCTGAAGGTACTTCAGACTTCACGAAGGATAGACTAAGGGAAAAGGATGTGGAGAACAGGTTATCTTCTCTCTGATTTTACTGTGTGCAGGTTGTGGCTGTGATGCTTTGAGCCGTTATAGCTCAGTTTGCTTGCATTCTTCCATGAGGATTTGGTTCTGCGTTGTCATGGCAGGAAGGTGATCGTTGGCCGGCTCTTGAATGCTCGTCAGGATCTGCCCTATCCCTCGGCTGAGTCTCTGCCCATAGGAGCCGCTGCTGTTTTTGGCTGAGATTGTCTGACCTCTGTAGACTTGAGCCTGACGCTCGCATATGCCAAACTTGCTTAGCAGGATGAACACATCTCTTCGGAAAGCTTTGGTGAAAATGGCGTAAAGAAAGGGGTTGGCGCAAGAATTGAGCGGGTAGAAGAGTACCAGCAAAATCTTGGAGTTCGTGACAGTGATCAGTGGTTTGTTCACAATGGCAGACAGAGCATGGAAAGAGATGGGAGCCATGCACAGGAAGTCAGTGAAAATCAACACCGCCATCCGCTTGGCGATTTTGGTGTCTTTGTCCCCTGACTTGTACTGAGGGTTCCGCACGGTGACGTAGATTTTTACGTAGCAGGCGCAAATGATGACAAAAGCGACGATGTTACACATTAAAACAAAGACAACGTAGGCTTCAGCCACCGGCGTCTCGGTGTCCATGGGCAAGCAGATGCTGACTTTGCTGTAGCTGCTGACGCCAACCAGTGGCAAAAGGGCGAGAAGAAAGCACGAGACCCACCCTCCCAGCATGATACCCAGAGCGTGCCGCAGGCGGATCTTGCGGTCCGGCCGCATGGCAAAAGTGATGGCGTACCAGCGCTCCAGGGTGATCACCGTCAGCGTGTAGACAGAAAGTTCGCTAGCAAAGACGGTGAAAAAGCCGGCCGTGTTGCAGCCAGGCCCAGTCTGCCACTCTATAGCGTGGTTATAGTACTCCGACCTGGTGTGGAGATCCACCGAAGCGATCAGGAGGAGGTACAACCCCATGCAAAAATCGGCAAAGGCCAAGTTACACATCAGAAAGCGTGGCACGGTCAGTTTGTAATGGCTGGTGAGAAGGATGAAAAGGACAAAGATGTTCCCTAGGATGGCCAGCAGGTTGACAAACCACACCACAATCCTCAGGAATTGATAGCCCATTATATCCTCGCAGGGGTTAAACTCGTCAGGCTCTGGAGTGCATATCACGTCCTCACTGCCTCCGCAGGCAGGGTAGTCGTAATGGCTGTCAAAGGCCTGGACGTCTTCCACTTGAGGGTTCTTCAGCTCTTGGCCAAACCCGAGATTTCCTTCTCCGTGCTCTTCCAAAAAAATGTAATAGTGGGAATTTTCATGGAAATCAGTGGACTTGGTGTTTTTGTCATAGGCGGTATCAGCGTGGTCCGTGTATTCTTCTTCATAATCCTTGTAAAACAGAGCTCTGAGAGCTTCGACCGATCTTCTCTTACGGAAGCTGTGGCTGCCCGTCTGGTTACACGTCAGGTACTCCAGGATCCTGAAAGAGGAGAGAGGGGGAAATCACCGCTGGCATTTACAGTCTGACGAGCACAGTGGGTGAACCAAGGGGACACTTCAACAGCAAATCACAGGGAATGAAAACATAGCTATAAAAATGTGATTGGATTCATTTCTGTTCACATACAGTGAACAAAACCACGAGTGGTTCCAGGAGTCAAACATCCCAGTAGATTTAATTATCATTTAATAGATTCAATTATTTTTTTAAAACTATTTTTAAACTAAATTTTTCCCCTGTTGCTATCAGACATCCCCAGTATAGTCATTTGACTTGTTTGGCATCCGTAATCCGTATTCCTTCTTGGGATCACAAGACTTTTATCTACTGTTCATCATTTCCTGGGTAATACAGTATTGCTTTCCTCATCTTCTATCCCAGAACTTCCGTGATTTTCATTTGCAGTCTGTGTATTTCCTCTATGTTCTTTACAGATACCTAGCAGTGCAAAGGTTGGGAATCCTGTACCTCATGGTGTGACGTGATCATTGTTCATATTTTATATTCATATTTACTACCGGGGGGGGAAAAATTGCAAATTGATCACCATAATCCACTGTCACGTAACCTTTAGCATTTCTCATTTCCAGATGTGTAGAACTAGAGATCACTCTCAGTTTGGGAATGCATGCTGTTCAGTCTATGAAATGTTCATCTTTACTAGTAGTTTCAAGCTGAACATGAGGAAAAGCTTTGTGAGTGTGAGGGTTATGGAGCATGGCCCAGGCTCCCCAGAGAGGTTGTGGAGTCTCCTTGTCTGCAGACACCCAAAGCCCTGGCCGTGTTCCTGTGTGACTGCTCTGGTGATCCTGCTGTGGCAGGGGTTGCACTGGGGGAGCTTTCCAGATCCCTTCCAACTCCTGACATGCTGGGTTTCTGTAATAGACAAGCAAATGCTTTCTTTCTTTCAGTCATTAGATTGTGCTGGCTTCTTTCTGCACGTTTTCCTTGTCCAGGGTTTGAATGTGTCTGCTTCTCGGTTTTCTTTGTCCTCATTTTCCCTGTCCATTGTCATTGTGAATGTTATTGCTATATGAGTTTATTCTTGAAGCATTCGTATACTTATTATAGCATCTTTTTAATATACTGTGCATTTCAGTGACACATACTGCAATACTGGGGCTGTCTTCCTAAAATCAAAGGCTGGCCTGAATCAGAATTCTCTAAACCTTATTAAAATGTTGAGAAATTTACCATGAATAGCACTCTACATTAAATTCTGTTGCTAATCATAGCAAGTTGTCCCTCTCACTCCCAACCCCCAAGAGACAAATGGCCACATTGCACCAGGGTATCTATAAACATAGGGGTTTTTCTTTCCAAAAGCTATCAGCACCTGTGCTGATGGGAGGCCAGAAATGCTGCCTAAATGGAATTTGGAATAATGTCCACAAGGATGTAACAGAATCAGAGAATCATTTAGGTTGGAAAAGCCACTTAAGATCACCGAGTCCAACCATTACCTGCCAGGTCCCTGAGCACCACATCTACACATCTTTTCAGTACCTCCAGGTTGTTTATATTAAATACTTGACCACTTCCCTGGGCAGCCCGTTCCAATGCTTGATAACCCTTTTGCTGCAGAAATCTTTCCTAATATCCAATCTCAGCCTCTCCTGGTGCAAGCTGAGGCAATTTCCTCTCATCCTATCACTTGTTACTTGAGAGAACAGACCGACCTCCACCTTGCTACAACCTCCTTTCAGGTGGTTGTAGAGAGCAAGAACATCTCCCCTGAGCCTCCTTTTCTTGAGGCTAAACAACCCCAGTTCCCTCAGCCATTTATTCTGAGCTTTTCAGTTAGAAAATACGAGACAGGAGGTTGTAACCCTTCCAAAACTTCATTTTCCAGTCCTTTTTCCTTTAACTCTGCACTCAACAAAAGGAGGAGCTCTTACAAAATCCTACAAATGGCTAGCAAAAATTCTTTCTTCTATCAGCTTGAAATTGTAATCTCCGTTTTAAAGAACGTCCTCTATACCTAGGAAAAAAACGGACACCAAAGTACCAGTAGGTGTAATTTTATATTAATACTAAACCATTTTCTTCGCTTACAGACTTTAAAATCAAATGTAAGTGAGTGAAACTCACCCGCTGGTTTTTTTCCAGCTCTTGAAAGCACAGCAGTGACTTGGATACGAGAGATCAGCTCGCATTAGCTGAAGAAATACCTTTACAGCTGGCAATTTCTTCAAGGTCCATGTATTTTTAGCCATTAGTTCTTTCAGACTTTCCAGTCCTTTGGCTGGAAGATAAGCAACGGCTGTTCTGGAGACATCCCTGTGTAAAGGAAGGCAAAGAGAAAATGTCAGAATATCAAGTGCCTGGATCAGATTTTTGTTCAGATTCTCACAATAATTTAGAATTCTACAGCAAAAATCAAATCCATAGGAGGTAGGGACTTTGTGTCACTTTGCTAGGCTCTGAAACCATTCAAATTCAAGTAGGATATGCATTTCTCCTGGGATTTTTTCCTGTGTTTTAAAGCTTTTGTCTTTAATGTCTTACAGTGCAGAACATGGATGATAAACAAGTATCAGTAGTTTTAAAATTATGCCTTTTAAAGCTAAGCAGATACTAATGCATATCACAGAATCATGAAGGTTGGAAGAGACCTCTAAGATCATTGAGTCCAACATCAACCCAACCTCAGCATGGCCACCAAACCATGTCCTGAAGTGCCACATCCACACGTGTCTTGAACCCCTCCAGGGATGGGGACTCCACCACCTCCCTGGGCAGCCCCTTCCAGTGCTTGACCACTCTTTCAGTAAAGAAATTTTTCCTAATATCCAATCTGAACCTCCTCTGGCACAACTTGAAGCCATTTGCTCTTGTCCTGTCACTGGTTATATGGAAGAAGAGACCAACACCCACCTCACTACACCCTCCTTTCAGGTACTTGTAGAAAGCAATAAGGCCTCCCCTCAGTCTCCTCATCTCTAAACTAAACAATCCCAACTCCCTCAGCCACTCCTCATAATTCTTGTTCTCCAGACCCTTTAGGATCCCGTTTAGGATTATGTTTGCTGCTTTCTGTTTCTTTGGCACTGAGTCCGAGTCAGCAGGTACGTTGCAGTTTGTGAGGGAGATGGATTTCCTTTTCCTGCCTCATGAATGTCATCTGGTCCTGCTGCTGTTTTCCACTCATTTTTGTGCTTTGTCTCGAAACAGAAGATTGAAAAGATTTTAATAATTGCTGATCTTCAGAGTAATGTGAATCCAAGCAGTTGGGTTTGTCAGAGTATGGTGTCTGTGTCTGTGTTCATATAGAAAACACATTTTCCTAAGTGATTTCTTTGTTCTGTATCATCAGTCTTGACGTTGTGCAGAAATATGGGAACTGACCGCAATTATGTCAGCCCTATAATGTCTAATAGTATGGATACCTAAGATGTTATTTAAACACAGCAATGTTTAAAGAGTTGCTACTGCTGCTAAGCTATAGCTGTCTCACTTAGAGAAACACATGAGACTGTGCACAAGGTCTGATAGGCTCGTCAAGAGGATCTGTCTGTCCTCTGATGTCTGCACTAGGCTTTTACTTAAGAACCCTAACAAAAGGTATGGTCAGTGAAGATACAGGTTAATGTGATATACCTGAGGGATGTGCTTTTGTAAAAATAAGTCCCACCTTACAAACCTCTCTGAATATTGTGATTAAGATCTGCTCAGAGTCTCCTGGGACTTCCACAAGCCCTTCAGTAGAAACCAACCAAAGGTTGACGTGGAAACCAGGCAGCTGCACTCCTTGTGGGAGGCACCAGATGTTTGGGTAGACTACTGGTAGGGGAAATGTATGGTAGGCTGCTGGCAAAATTCACTTCTAGCCCAAATGCAGACCAGATTTTAGCACTTAAGTAGCTGTGGCCTAGAGCTCGCTCAGGTACTGGCTGCAGTAGCACTGAGCTCTACACCAAGGAGCATAAAAGTAACCAAAGTGCACTCAACCAATTGTAAAATTGTGACTTCTTAGCTGGTTTGGTTTTTCCTTACATGCTTTCTTATAAATCTCATGTGACATTTCTAGGCTGTTGCTTACCTTACGTGAAATTTCCACATTGGATTTCTTACATGCTTTCTTATAAATCTCACGTGACATTTCTAGGCTGTCGCTTACCTTACGTGAAATTTCCACATTGGATTTAATGTTGCAGACATTGGAGAGCTTCAGTTGAACGTATGGGAATAAAACAGCTTGTGATTGAAGAGATGTTGTTTTCTGAACCAACTGCATATATGATACAAGTGTTTAACAGGTATTTAGCTGCTCTGCTTTGATTTTTATTTTCTAAGTTATTATTTTTTTAGTATAGTTCTTTGTTGTTATTATAGCCAGAAGTTCAGAACTAGATATAAGAGAGAACAGCTTTTATCAATACCCTTTTTCACAGAATCCCAGAACGTTAGGGATTGGAAGGGACCTCCAAAGCTCATCCAGTCCAACCCCCCTGCCGGAGCAGGAACACCCAGATGAGGTTACACAGGAAGGCGTCCAGGCGGGTTTTGAATGTCTGCAGAGAAGGAGACTCCACAACCTCTCTGGGCAGCCTGGGCCAGGGCTCTGTCACCCTCACTGAGAAGAAGTTTCTTCTCCAATTGAAGTGGAACCTCCTGTGTTCCAGCTTGTGCCCATTACCCCTTGTCCTATCATTGTTTGTCACCGAGAAGAGCCTGGCTCCATCCTCGTGACACTCACCCTTTAAATATTTATAAACATGAATGAGGTCTCCCCTCAGTCTCCTCTTCTGCAAACTAAAGAGCCCCAGCTCCCTCAGCCACTCCTCATAAGGGAGATGCTCCACTCCCTTGATCATCTTTGTAGCTTTTCACATCTGGAAATACGCAATTGTAGTATGAAGTCAAGTAATGTTGAGAATTTAGAAGACATTGTGAAAATTATATTGATAGCATAGTAGTACTAGGGATTTTTACATAATCATACACAGATTTCTGAGTACTGCAATACTACAGTAGTTAAAAAAGCATAAAATATATCCTAGATGGGGTTAAACTACAGATATGCTCTCTGTCTACTGAAAGGTTCTTTAAATCTACAAATCTGCATTGCTTGATGAGCAGGATGTGGAGTGTTCCTGTTGCGCAAAGACTCTTGAGCCCAGTGGCAGGAAAAGAACAGAACCTCCTAAGGCAGGACCCTTTCCTAGATTGGGAAATGATGCCTTAAAGAGCACTTCTGCTTGCTAAAGAGAATTAATTACTCACATGTAGCTTATGCAGCAGTTAGTAATATTTTGAATTTGGGCTGTATGTTTTGTAAAAGCTAATTGAACAGTAAGGCTGATTATATTTTTGTTGTACTCTGCTGAACTTGTGCTCTAGGCAGAAGCTCTTGTTGATGCATTTAGTAAATCAGGTCTGCCGAGCTGCTGAATCCCGGCCAAGATTTCCATTTCAGGTGAAGAGCAGCGTGCTGTCATTACACTGTTAAAATAGCTTTCTAAAGAGAGCAGTCTGTGTCTGTGTCCACGTATATCTGAATATACAGCAGTGACGAAGGAATTTGAATTATTGGCATCTGTTCTCTATTCTGTGATCACAGTCGTCCTCACTTCCTCTGCTATTGTAAACTGCAGATTTTTGAAAACAATTTACCTAGCCTTTCAATGCTTACTGAAATATACTATTTAACTGGTGGGTCTGAGAGCGTAGCCAAACTCACACAACATACGTCTAGCCAGGCATTGTTCTTTGTAGTTAAATCTTTCCCATTGGTTTTCTTTGAAGCCAGAATGGAAGGAAATCATCCCATGGATCCAGGGTCCGTATTTCAACCTTTATGTTGCTGGTGCTGCTGAAATAGCGATTGGAAAAACCCAGTAAATGGGTTTAATGGGATAAATTCTTATCTCACTATCACAGAATATTAGGAGTTGGAAGGGACCTCGAAAGATCATCCAGTCCAACCCCCCAACTATGAGTTCTGCCAACCTCATAGGGAGCCAAGACAGAGACTTTTGGGGACCTTATAGGTTCTGCCAACCTCGTAGGGAGCCAAGACAGAGACTTTTGGGGACCTCCATAGATCTTTGGGTTTGTTTTTTTTTACATATTGCTTCCACTGTAGGCAATGCCATTCATTGCCTGAGAAAAAGAAATATTTCTCTTCTGGCAATCATTTTCCATAGAGTTACTTTACAAGAAGAAGGAGTCTTGTAAGTGGAACTTTGATCCAATGTCCACAAATTCCCATGCCAGATGCCTGAATTAAAAATGACTCCACAAATTATTTATTAAGGTAGGCCAAGTCGTTTACACTCCTCGAGGGGCATACGGAAGGGCTGGATCGGGCAGACTTCGCAGGCTGTTGTGCAAGTTAACAAATCTCTGGTGTCTCTCATTATAATTAACTCATTATTATCAGTCTTGATGGTATAGTAGGGAGTGTAATAAAGCACATTTCTGTCTCCTGTGGTTGATATCACTGGCCATTGACGTGACACAATAACAAACAGTAGGGTTCCACTCGATTTTCATCAATTCTGACTTCACCCTTCTTAAGGCAGTGCATAGGTGGGAGTTTTAGAAACTGTTTTGTTCTTGTTAAAATGATCAACTAAGAGATCTGTTCAGGTGGAAGGATTCTGCTCTAAATTGTTGGAAGATACCTTGCTTTATGATGAACTTTTCCTGTGTCACACATGCAGAAAAATTCCTGGTTATCCATGGGTAACAGAAATCCCTGAAACTGCTTTTAAAATAGAATTAAAAGTTAATAACACGTTGCACCCTTCTATATTGGTTCTGGCTGGCATAAATTTCTTCATCGTAGCTTGTACGGGGCTGCTTTGGATCTGTGAGGATCTGTTTTGGATCCCTGTTGATAACACAGGGATATTTTGGACATTGCTGAGCAGGCTGGGGGTGCACGAGGAGTTGGGAGGGGACACAGCAGGGACAGCTGACCCCCAATGACCAGGGGGATGTCCTTGACCATATGATGCCATGCTCAGCAATAAAACTGGGGCTGGAGGTGGAGGTTGGATGGGGCTGCCATGGCTCAGGGTCTGGCTGGGCATCATCAGTTGGTGGTGAGCAATTGGTTTTGTGGCCTCACTTGTTTTTCTTGGCTTGGTTTTTTTTCTCCTTCTCTGCTTTTTCTTTTTCCTCTCCTTTTTAAGTTATTAAACTGTCCTTATCTCAACCTATGAATTTCAGTACTTTCACCCTTCCAATTCTCTCTCCCATCCCACTGCAGATGGTGAGCGAGTGGGGTGTGGGGCTGAGCTGTTGGCCAGGCTTGAACCATGACTCCTTCCTCAGATCTTTAGCTTAGTACCAGCAAATCAAAGGATTATGGTGTGAAATGCTCTTACTTTCTTAATCACTGTTGATTTACTGTTGCTTACATGCCATTTTATACCTTCAGCCTTTGAAAAGCAATACTTCTCTCTCTGTAATGTCACTTATAGTACAATCTCTAATTATAAATACAATGACTGTTAGCCATGGAGGTTTAGCATCGCAGTGGGAGATGGATAAGTAGCTGTTTAGACTGCAAATGTAAAACATGTCCTAGGACTGAGGATCAGTGGCAGCTGGGCAAGCACAATAATTACAGAAGATCAGAAAACTTTCAGGTTATTTGAGAAATGTAGCTTGAAAATGCAGAGAAGGAAGTTCTTTGCAGTTACATACCCATGCCCTAGGGAGTCATCTCTAGCCCCAAAACCAGGAGGTGCTGTGTAGCTCGCTCACCTCAGAGCTGTTCCTTGCAGAGTGGGCTTACCTGGCAATGTTGTTACAGCTTATGATTACCCCACAACCTTTGCAGCATGTCAGTACTTTTTCACTTGTGCAGCATTGCACCACCACTGGTGCTTTGAACAGCCACAGTAACTCCATGAGTAAAACTCTGTGCTGCTGTAAGATCTCCCTTAGACTTAAGGCCCTGAATGTTTTGTCTTTTGCCATCCCTAGAAAGGAGCTTTTCAACACATCCTGCCACCTGTAGCCCCAGAGGAAGACGTGTGGTGAGCCATACAGGACCCCAGACGTAAAGAAGAGTACATCTTGCTCGGATAGCTGAAGCAGAAGAGAGGCTACCATCCACACACAGGCCTTGCAATGCGTCTGACTTGAGATGCAGGAGACAGAGAGAACCAGAGCTTTGATGATGATCTTGCCATCAAGGGTCAGTTGCAGCTTTGCACAGCAGGATGTGACCAATGCAACTTTTAATGTAGACTGCTGTGTAGCTGGTAGCCAGCATGATTTTCTGGAGTTGGCAAGATTCTGGGGAAAAAAGAACATCTTCTGCACCTTTTCCTTATTAGAGCTGGCTCCTAGGATTCCTCCTGTGAACAGTACACCGTTATTCTAATGTAACTGTGCTGTTTTCCAGAAAAGCAGAAAGTAAAACTGATTCTTGCATGGAGTGAGGACTTTGATTTTGTCGTGGATAAGGGAATCCCACTTTCAGCACTTCAGTTCTCCCCGCGGTCACTCCTGTGCACTGCGTGCTGTGCTAGATGATTTGAGTCAGGGAATATGATTCTTCTGAAAGTTCCTAAACTTCATCAGTTTTTTGGTGTCATTCTGTATCGTGATTCTTAATTTTAGTGGAGAGTTCTTTAGAGGACTATAAAATTAGACTGGAAGCTAAGATACATGAGAAAGAAGAGGAGACAGCACCAGTAGTAACTTTATTCTGTCTAAAATTATTTGTTGCATCTCTCTCTCAATTTCCTTTATGCGAGTGCTGCTACAGTCCTTGGTTTGTATCACAGCTGTACTGCAGTTGTGCAGTCATAAGACACAGTGTAGTGGAGACTCTTTCAGAAGAAACATTAGTAGGAGCAGTATTTTTAAGGTGAGATGCAAGCATTTCTGAATTCAGTTCCCTAAAGCCCAGCTGTTGTTGCTGGTATTCATTTTGCAAACATGCCACTCGCATCCCTGCTGCTCTGCTGCTGATAATGGTTGGAAAGAAAGTGCACCCTAAAATAGTATTGTTTTAAAAGCTTTTCCTACTTCATTTTCTCCTACTCACAGTAGAGTTGGTCCACTGTGCACTCCCAGAAATGCATCGTCATTGATAACTTCCAGGTATTTGTTCTTGTGCAGATAGCTGAGAAACAAAGAAAACCCAGTTACTTGGAAATAGTTCACCACAGGTTCAAGAAGATCTGCAGTTTACTTCCCTAAACAGATTCACAGAAGCAGTGTGTGTAGGGCCATCCTATCCCACAACGTATTGAGGTATAAGGAGTTACTTTGTTTTCTGTGTGCCCGAGGAACAAGATACAGGTTTGCTGTTTCAAAAACAAAATTCTCCCTCAATTAATAAATTAACAAAATGAATCGTCTTTGCTCCCCATTCTCTGGCACACACACAAACACACATGCATACACACTGTATCTTCAGGTAAACGTGTGTGAGGACGAGGTGAAATTGCTTTCCTTTCATCAGAATGAGGTATGGGGGGTTATATGACACTTCGAGGAACACATCATGATCAAACATGAAAATAAGTCCCTCCTTGTTCAGTAATAAAAGTTTTAAATGCTGTAACATCTCCATAGCCAAGTGGCTTCCATACACAGGTCAGCAGTTAAGAGTGAAGATTTGTTCTAAGAGCAAGAGAGGGAGTGAGAATGATGATAAATCTGAAGGAAAAAATAATATAAAACTTCCGTAAAATATAAATAAATTCTAAAGTCTTGGGAAAACAGTGAACAGTTTCCTGAGTAGCCAACACTTCCCTGAAATCTGGAATGCTGCGTATTTCTCCTGTCATTACATGATTGATGTGACCAAGATTTAATTCCCAGCACACTGGGAACTGAAATATAAGAAAGTGTAGATTCAGGAAGTAACTTACAGAGTGGAGTTAAAGGTGTACGATTAAGGACAGGCAATGCAAGGCTACTGAACACACACAAGATGAACATAACCCAAGTGGAACAGTCCATGTTAAATTCAGCTCTGTGGTTTCAGAGTACATTTAAAAGTGACTGATCTAGAATGAATCTTGATTTTTTTTAATATTTTTTTTAAGTAGGATTCCCATTTACCATGGTCTGTGACTGTAGTTTGAGAAACTCATAAATACGTGGATGATTATTGCAGGTAATTCAGTTGATTCCATATTGCTTTAGAGAGCCTACGTATTCTTGTCTGAGACTTCTGTTCTCAGTGGCCTAAAAGACTTAATGAAGTTTTTGTGAAGAGTCTTGGGAGAAATAATGGGCTTCAGTAGTTCTACCATTGTGGATGTACAAAGAGAAATCATCACTTAAAAACACCTGCAGAAATATGGATCTGGGGCCACCCTGTGTGTATCAATTGGGTAAACTTTACATAGATTTAGATAAAAAAGCAGCTTGGAAACAACTGTCCAGCTGAGAAGTACTTCACAGAATACAACAGGCAAGTTCATTTCCTTGACAAGGTTGTTCCTCATGCCAGTGGCACTCTCCTGGCTAACCAGGAGGGAGGGGGACTGCAGTTATAAACAGCTAAACACATAGGAATATGCTGAATTAGCTGACCAATGAAAAGAGACTGCAGATTAGGTTGCGATATATACGTACATACATCCATATTTATGTATACTATAATAATATACATGTATATTTATGGATCCTACTGTGATAATT